AGCCACCAGGGCTCTGGTGTATTAGCTAAGTCCTGTCCTCATCCTTCCAGGAGCTCTGGTGCCACAGTGATTAAAGCATTTGGCTGCTAACCAAATAGTCTGCAGTTTGAATCCGACAGCTACTCCATGGAAGAACAATGAGACAGTCTGCTTCTGTAGATTTACAGCCTTGGAAACCCTATGGGGGCGGTTCTATTCTGTCTTATAGGGCCATTATGAATCAGAATCCACTCGATAGCAGTGGGTTTGGTTTCTTGTTTGGACCTCATCCTTCCAAAGGGTCATTCTCCATTTATACTTCATACATGAGAAAACTGAGGCTCAGAACAATTGATGTCTTGTTCTAGGTGTCTAGCTCTGCCGGAGCTGGACTCAAATACCTCTCCCCCAGATTGCAAGACAATTCGCTGTTTTTGTTGAATCATGTTGCATCTGATTCAGAGGCAGCTGCTTGTTCAATTGCAGATTCCTCCTGTATGTCTGCAGCAGCTTGAATTTTTTTCTCAGGCTGTGAACTGTGCTGAAAGCAACTAATTTCTAGCCTTCCGATTTTCACTGAATGGTGGTAGCAATTAAGGGTCAAAGTATCTCCCCAGCCTGTGATTAGGAGGAAATTATGGTGATAATGAAAGGAATGATAATAGCAACAAACATATTGAGTAATTAAGGAGCCTGGGTGGAGTAGTGTTTAAGTGCTAGACTGCTAACCAAAAGGTCAGCGGTTGGAACCCACCAGCCACACCATGGGGAAAAGATGTGGCAGTCTGCTTCCATAAAGATTTACAGCGTTGGGGATAGAGTTGAAGAAAAATGTGGAACAAAACTCAAAAGCATAAAAACACCAGGCTTACTGGTCTGATAGACACTGATGAAACCCCTGAGACCGAGGGCCTGAAGTCACCCTTTGAGCCTGGAACTGAACTCGTTCCCATGGCTTAACTTTCAGCAAACAATTGACAGGCCTGTGAGGTGAACATTTACACCAAGAAGGTACAGTCATTAGAACTCTCAACCATGGGAGATCAGAAGGGCAGTATTTGTGCAAGTAGAAAGCTCAGAAGGTAGGATACATAGGAAGGTAGGACACAGGGAAGAGGTAACCATGAGGAGGAAGTAGGAAGAGAGCTGTTACGTTGTGGAGATTACAATCAATGTCATGAAACAAAATGTGTATGAACTGTTGAATGGAAAATGCATTGGCTCTGTAAACGTTCACCCAAGTCACAATAAAAAGTTAAAAAAAAAAAAAAGAAGAAGAAGAAAGATTTACAGCCTTAGAAACCCTGTGGGGTGGTTCTACCCTATCCCATTGGGCCTGTATGTGTCAGAATTGACTCAACAGCAGTGAGCCTGCTTTGGGGGAGTTTGATTTTGATTATTCCCATTTTTTGGGTGAGGAAACTCGGAGCTGACTAGAAATTTGTACATAGTCAGAATATTACAAGTGACTTTACCAGGATAAGCTAGGGTTTTGCCACAGTAACAAATGAGCCAAAATCTCAATGGCTTAAAGAAACAGGTACATTTCTTGTTCATGCTGTATGTCCATCACTAATTGACTGTGGCTTCAGTTCATACTGTCTTTGCTCTAAGGAGCCCTAGTGCTAGGGCACTAACCGAAGGTTGGTGGTTTGAACCCACCAGCCACTCTATAGAAGAAAGATGAGTGTCCTTTAGGGTCACTGTGAGTCAGCATTGGCTCAATGCAACAGGTTTGTTTTTTTTTGTTTAGTCTTCACTCTGGTTCCCAGGTTGACAGAGCAACCTGTATCTGGAATGTTGCTGGTCTTGAGGCAGACTGGAAGAAGACATATCAGGCCCTGCACTGGCTCTTATGGATTCTGTGAGAACTGACAGGCATCACTTCCACCTACATGTCATTGGCTAAACCAAGTCACTTGGCCACTTCTCAGTTCCACTGGGCAGAGATGTATAACCCTTCCATAGGGAGGACCACTACAGGGAGGGATAGCTGAATATTTGGTGAATGGTAATACAATTTACCACAACAGTAGAGGTAGGAATCAAACCTGTGTTGAAAAAAAGAAAGAAAGAAAGAAGTTGCCATCAAGTTGCTAACAGGACATGGAGGCAGCATCCTCTGACCTCCTCCAACCTCAAGATGGGCAGACAGAATCAACCAAGGCTTATTCATATGAGGCCAGACATGTCGCCACCCTCCAAACCTTTTTACCAACTCTGACATCAACTGACCCTCCCACGCCACTGTCTACTTCTCTGCTGGGTTCGATGATTCATTGCAGTGGCCACACAGGACTCACAGACAATACTTATAATTAGGGGAGTTATTAGGGAAGTAACAGGCTACAGTTCAGGTTTAGGAATGTGCTCAGGATACATTTCTTTGCTTGGGCAAGTGTTACAAAACTCTTTTAACTCTGCCGATAGGTACACCTAGGTGCGCTGCACTCCACCAGCAAGGCTCTTACCCAAGGGTACTCAGCTTTCTCACTCTGTGGCCCGGAAAGCCCAGCACTCTGTCTCATGCCTCTTAGTTCCACTGCCACCGTCTCTGCCAAGACATCTCTGCTGAGGAGGTCCAAAGATGTGCTCCACTCTAACTCCAGCTCTTCTCTCTTGATGGCAGTGAGATCCCCCTTTCTGCCTGTACGAAGGCTCATTTTAAGCCTGGCAGAGTGACAAAACTAACCAAGCCCAACATTGGAGTTCCATATACCTTATTTGCATGGTCCCACCTGGGAGCTCTGGTAGCATAGTGGCTAAGACACTTTCCTGCTAACCAGACGACTGGCGGTTCAAACCCACCAGCCACTCCTCGGAAGGAAGGTTGGGCAATCCTACTTCCGTAGTGATACTGCCTCAGAAACCCAAGGAGGGATCGCTATGAGTCAGGTATGACTCGACGGCACATAACAACAACAACAACAACCTGATAATCTGGCAGGAGTCACAGACCATAGCGTAGAAACACACACCAAGTAATCCACTGCCCTGCACAAGTCACCTCCAATCCATGGTAACCCCGTGTATGCAGAGCAGAACTATGCTCTGTAGGGTTTTCTTAGCTGACTCTTTGGAAGCAGATCACCCTACCTTTATTTCAGGGCACCTCTGGGTAGGTTTGAACCACCAACCTTTTGGTTAGTAGCCGAGCACTTAACCATCTGTACTACCCAAGTACTCCTTCAGGCCAGTGTTTACTGGGTTTGAATCCTGACATCAGAACCCATGCTCTTAATCATTTAACCACTTTGCTAGATGCACGTGGTTCAGCCTCATCCCAGGCTTCTGCTGAGATGAACGTTAGTCATGGAAACTAGCACCCATGGGTGTACAGAGATTTCTATTGTTGGTTTCCACTTTGCTGTAGCCTCGGAGGTACTGCCCTTTACACACAGGAGGGGCTTAAGGACAAAGTTTGTTGAAGTGCGCTGGCAGGGAACCAGGAGTCATAGCAGATCCCCAGATCCTCCACGCAAGCCCCATTTCCTTTAGATGACTGGAGAATGATCTGTTTCTCAATATAATGCCTGGCTGTTCAGAAGGAGGTGGGACTGAAACATGTACTGGTTGGGCATGTGCGTTGTTCTGCTCACCAATACACAGCACCAGAAAGTGCCAGCACCCAGTACATGCTCATTAAAAGTGTGTTGATGGAGGAGATGAAGGAATGAATGAATTTGATCAGTACAAACAACAGCCTAAGGATGTAGATGTTATTATCCTTGTCTTACAAATGAGGAAACTGAGGCTCAGGGAGGGGATGTTATCATGATAACAATAAAAAAAAAAAAAAGTGCTGTCAAGTTGATTCAAACTCATGGTGGCTGCATGTGTGTCTGAGTAGAACTGTGCTCCACAGGGTTTTCAGTGGCTGAGTTTTCCGACGTAGACCACCAGGCCTTTCCTCCAAGGCACCTCTGGGTGGACTCAAACCTCTAGCCTCTCTGTTAGCAACTGAGTACATTAACTCTTTCACCACCAGGGACTCCATAATAACTACTGTTTTACAGAACACTTGCTTTGTGCCAGCCATTAGGCTAAAAAGGCTAAACACTTTGCAGGCATTCTCTTAATTGTTTCCCACAGCCCCTCAGGAGGTAGATACTGTTATCCATTTACATCTGTTATATGGGGGCAATAATAATACTGCTTCTTAGGATAAGATTAACTGTTAAGTGCAAAATACAGTGGCTGGTATATATTACCCCTTGGTATATATTAACTATTCTTCTTCTTCTATTATCCTTGTCTTGCTATCACTTCACATCGAGTTGTTGTCCAAATTCCAGTGACAGTTCAGAGTCCACGCTGGGAATGACCGCAGTAACCCTGCTCTCACCCTCTTGTCTTACTCCTTATGGCTTCAAAGTGGCTGAAGGCTGAATCCCCAACAGAAAGATCAGGCTTCATGACACCCCTCAGCCCTGATAGCTGCCCTCTCAGAAGCCACCTGACCCCAGTCCACTCTCAGTCCTTTCCTGTTGCTAAACTTTATAGCTTTTGAATTTCAAGTCAGTTCTAGACATTGCTCCAAGGCCAAGTCACCAATGTAGACATTTCTCTAACTCATCTTCAAATTATTATTCTGAAGGAAATTGGTTTCTGAATGTCCTAGAAGGAGGTAGGTGGGCCAGGGGAGGAAGGGAGGCCAAGTAGGAGGCCATGGATTCTATGATTCTATTTTGTACTTGTTCTGGGTCCATATGTTTAAAGGTTTTTTTGGTGCTTCTTTTGCTGCTGTTATTATTTTCTTGTCTTTTCATTATTCAAATTGCAACCCTGTTAGGATGGATCTGCTGGGTAAGTAGCACATCCCACGCATTGGGATTCCCCAGCTGGGTTTCTGAATGTTGTCAGCTTTCCTAAACCCATCGCTGGGCCCATGGTGACTTGGGGGCCTTGCTCTGCATGACAGTACACCCAGCATTGACCCTAATTTGGGCATTGGTGAGATGGGGAGGTCTCAAGGCATCGCAGGCACATCTGGCCCTAAAGACCAACCTCTTCTCCCCTAGAACTGCTGAGGCATCCCGGAAGAAGAAAGAAAACCGAAGGAAATGGAAGCGCTATCTCCTGATAGGCCTGGCGACTGTGGGAGGTGGGACGGTGATCGGTAAGTCTGGCTCAAGTTGGTGGCATGTGGATCAGGGGGTGTGGAGTAAGAGGTGATACTAGACTTGGAGTGAAAGTACAGTGTTCAGGGGGATCACCTGGGTAGTGACCCTGAGATGGAAGTGGAAGGACCTCAAAGGTGGTCAGTCCATGAGATACCTGCTCCAGATAGGCATCCAGCCCATCTTTAACAGCCTTCAGTGACCAGGGAACTCACTCAGCCTGTTTTGCAGCCATCCCTGACTGAATGGGGTATCTTCTGTTTCCATTTAAGTCCACTTTGCCCTCTAGTGGCGTAGTGCCTAAGGCATTTGACTGCTCACTAGAAGGCTGGTGGTTCCAACCCACCAGCCACTCCTCGGAAGGAGGATTAGGCAATTTATTTCCATAGTGAAAACTGCCTCTGTAACCCAAGGAGGTGTCACTGTGAGTCAGACCCAACTCTACAGCAGTGAGTTTGGTGTTTGGTTTTGCCCTCCAGCCCACATTCCAACAACAGACCCCTCACACCCCCAGAACTGTTTCTTTACCGTGTCTCAGCTCACTTAGCCTCCTTATTTGTGGCTACAAACAACACAGATGTATCATCTTATAGTTCTGGAGGTCAGAAGTCCAAAATGTGTCATACTGGGCTAAAATCTAGATGTGAGTGGGCCTGTGTTCTTTCTGGGAGCTCTGTGGGACAATCTGTTGCCTTACCTTCACCAGGTTCTTGAGTCTGCTTGAATTCTTTGGCTTATGGCCCAGTCACTCCAACCTCTGCTTCCATCATAATATCTCCTTCTCTGATCCTAACTCCTGCTTCTGTCTTATAAGGATACATATGATTACATGGAAGATGGAAGGCATACACAGTCACTTTCTCAAAACAAATTGGTCGACATTCAACCATTTCAAGAACTGATGGATGGTATTGAAGGAAGAAGCCCAGCTGCACTAGAGGCAATGGCAAAAATCAAGGTTTCAGGAATAGACAGAATATGAGATGTTTCAACAAAATAGATTCAGTGCTGGAAGGGCTCACTCATCTGTGCCAAGAATTTAGAAGACAACTACCTGGCCAACCAACTGGAAAGGATCCATATTTATGCCCATTCTAAAGAAAGTGATCCAACAGAATGTGGAAGTTGTCAAACAATATCATTAATATCACATGCAAGTAAAATTCTGCTGAAGATAATTCAAAAATGGTTGCAACAACACATCAACAGGGAACCAGCCCGAAATTCAAGCCAGATTCAGAAGAGGATGTAGCATGAAGGATATCATTCCTAGTATCAAATGGATCTTGGCTGAAAGCAAAGAATACCAGAAAAATGTTTACCTGTGTTTTATTGACTATGCAAAGGCATTCAACTCTGTGCTTCATAACAAATTATGGATAACATTGCACAGAGTGGGAATTCCAGAACACTTAATTGTGCTCATGTGGAACCTGTGCATAGACCAAGAGGCAGTCATTTAAACAGAACAAAGTGATACTGCATGGTTTAAAATCAGGAAAGGTGTGCATCAGGGTTGTATCCTTTCATCATACTTATTCAATCTGTATGCTGAAGCAATAATCCAAGATGCTGGACTATATGAAGAAGAACATGGTGTCAGGATTGGAGGAAGACTTATTAACTACCTGCAATGTGGAAATGACACAACCTTGCTTCCAGAAGAGGACTGGAAACACTTACTGATGAAGATCAAAGAATATACCCTCCAGTATGGATTATACCTCAACATAAGAAAACAAAAATCCTCACAACTGGACCAATAAGCAACATCATAATAAATGGAAAAAATAATGAAGTTGTCAAGGATTTCATTTCACTTGGATCCACAGTCAGCAGCCATTAAAAGCACAAGATATTGAAATGAAAGGACATATTTATTGCATTGGGCAAATCTGCTGCCAAAGATCTCTTTACAGTGTTAAAAAGCAAAGATGTTACTTTGAGGACTAAGGTGTGCCTGACTTGGTCATGGTATTTATTTTTAATCACCTCATATGCATGTGAAAGCTGGACAATGAATGTGGAAGACCAAAGAAGAATTGATGCATTTGAATTACAGAGTTGGCAAAAAATATTGAAAATATCATGGGCTGCCAGAAGAACGAAACAATCTGTCATAGACTATGTGCAGCCAGAGTGCTTCCTAGAAGGGAGGATGGTGAGACTTCATCTCATATATTTTGGTCATGCTGTCAGGAGGGACCAGTCCCTAGACAGGGACATCATGCTTGATAAAGTGGAGGGTCAGTGAAAAAGAAGAAGACCCTCAATGAGATGGGTTGACACAGTGGTTGCAACAATGGAAGGAAACAAGCAACAAATGTGAGGATGGCCCAGTACCAGACAGTGTTTCATTCTATTGTACGTGGAGTTGCTATGAGTTGGAACCAACTCAGTGGTACCTGTGGTAGTTAAGGTTGTGTCAACTTGGCTGGGCCTGGTTTTGAGTGGCTGAGCAGCTGGTGGTAGTTATTCCCTATGATGAGACTGGCAATCAACTACATGGTGGAATCTGCCGCAAGCAGCTGAGTAGCTGCTTTAAGGATATGGTCCCATATATAAGGAGAAGCTTTGGGCATGGTCTCTAGCTTTTTGGCACACTTGAACCCTGCATGTAGCCAAGTCATTGCTCAGGAGCCTGCCATGTCCTACCAATCTTGGGACTTTTTCTGGACTTGGAATAGTGGTCTGCCGTGTTGTTTGGTAATATTAGGACTGTGCCTTTTTACTTGTCGACCTTAGGTTTGTCAGCCTCAGCAGCCAGCAGCTGCCTGAGTGAAGAAAAGCCTCCAGTGTCAGTAGGCCAAAAGCAGGAGGCAGAGCTGAAGCCCAAAGTTGAGGGGCTTTCACCCAGCCCCTAGAGCCTGACACTTTGAACTCAGACTTCTAGCCTCCAAAACTTCAAGAGAATAAATCCCTGTTTGAGCCTTCCCACCTGTGGTATGTCAGTTAGAGCAGCAATAGGTAACCAGAACAGTACCCAGCAACAATTGATGACCTTGGGCCCACCTATATAATCCAGGAGACTCTCCTCATCTCAAGATCTTGCTTCTTCATGTCTACAAAGTCCCTTTTGCCGTGCAGAGTAACAAATTCACTGGTTCTGGGGATTAGGATATGGATATCTTTGTTATTGCTGTTTGGTGCCATCAAATGGATATTTTTAGGGAATCATTGTTCTGTCTACCACAGTTTCCTTGTCTAAAAAATGGGGATAATGTTGTGAGGATGCAGTAATATGACCTTCATTAGGAAATGCCTGGCACATAGTTGAGCTCCTGGGTGGTGCAAACAGTTAATGTGCTCAGCTGCTAACTGAAAGGTTGCAGGTTTGGGTCTACGCTGAGGTCCTCAGAAGAAAGGCCTGGAAATCTACATCCCAAAAATCAGCCATTGAAACCCATGCACAATTCTACTCTGGCACATATGAGGTCACCATGAGTCAGAATTGACTCAACAGCAACTGGTGTTGCTGGTATGACACACAGTAGCTGCTTGGTCAGTGGTAAGTGTGTTTAGTAGTATCATTAGAAGCTTCCATGGATGGCAGTGGGCAGCTGATGAGGGAAGAACCTAGCAGCCACATCCTCATTCCCACCTTTACTCACTGTGGGCTGCTTTCCTTGTAGGTGTGACTGGGGGTCTAGCTGCCCCTCTTGTTGCCGCGGGAGCTGCAACGATCATTGGCAGTGCTGGGGCAGCAGCTCTTGGCTCAGTGGCTGGCATAGCCATCATGACCTCACTGTTTGGTGCAGCTGGAGCTGGTCTGACAGGTAAGTTTCAAGAGCAGTGGTACAATTGTAAGGAATTTTCAACAAGTCGACATAGCACCTAAAGTACACCCCAAATTCTCCTCAGTCGGGGCTCCCTGGGAGGTGGAGGAGGCAGGGCATGCTTTTCTTACTCTGGGCCCCAGCCCAGCTAGAACTTGCAGGAGGCTTCTCAGAGAACCGGCCCAGGAGCTCAGCATGGGTCAGTATTAGGGCTGAGTTTGAGAAACTGGTCTCTCTCCCTATACCTTGTGTAAACTTGCTGAAGAAGAATCTGATTGGACCTACTTGCCACCATCCAGTAAGGTACACTCATATTGGACAGTTCCCAGGCAGGCTACCCCAAAGATGTTTGGCCTTCCTCTTATTTAGAGGGTACATGGCTACCCTTCATTTACCAGCATCACATGTGGAGTTCTTCCAAATCATATATATCAACACACACACACACACACACACACCCCACATATATAGACTCCAGTTCAACTCCCCAAGTGGGGTATCTCTCCCCCTTTGAGAATCTTGGTTAATTTGATCCTCTTTTACTGAGTGGAGTGTGTCACACCCCCAAAGTGTGTGGCTTGCAAAAAGGTACAGAATCAATTTAGGACAGAGTAGTGGTATAGAGCTTAGGCTCTGAGTTCAAACCCCAGCTCTGCAATTCTGGGACCGGCCAACTTTGAGCAGTCTCTTACTCTTGTCTGTAACTAGGGACAATAATGGTGCCTACTTCAAGAACTAAATGAATTTTCCAGGGCATGGCACACAACTACTTCTCACCAAATGGCTCATTCTGACTTATGTTGCCCTGGCCTCCAGTTGCCTCCATTTTTGTTCTCCTGTCTGGGTCTTTAGGATACAAGATGAAGAAACGAGTTGGGGCCATTGAAGAGTTCACGTTCCTTCCTCTGACAGAAGGCAGGCAGCTGCATATCACCATCGCCATCACGGGGTGGCTCGCATCTGGAAAATACCGTGAGAACCAGAGGGCAGGGGGCGGACAAGGATGAGAAGGGGGGCTTTAGCTGAACTGGGCCTGCTGCTGAGTTCCAGACCTTGGGCTAGACTTAATGATTGTGTATGTCTCTACGGGTGGGTATTAGGAGCCACTGGGGCAATCTACTTCCATAGTGATACCCCCTCGGAAACCCAAGGAGGGGTCGCTTCGAGTCAGATCTGACTCGATGGCAGTGAGTTTGGTTTTGGTTTTTTATTACAGAGAAAACTGAGACTCAGAGAAATGAGGTGACTTCATTTAACACCTACCCATCTATCCATCCATGTATTCATCCAGCTCTCCACCCATCCAGCTCTCCACCCATCCAGCTCTCCACCCATCCAGCATTACTTATATATGCTGTACTTGCCGTGTGCCAGACACTGAGCTACGCCCTGCGGGTCAGTGGTAAATAGCACAGGTATAGCCTCTGCTCCCTTGGAACAAACAGTCCAAAGCAGAAGACAGACTGTTGAGCAAGAAATTCCAAGGAAGCTTTAAGGATGGAAAGAGCCCTGGTGTCACAATGTTTAAGTGCTTGGCTGCTAATCAAAAGGTCACCAGTTCAAACCCACTAGCCACTCCATGGGAGAAAGATGTGACAGTCCGCTTCCATAAAGATAACAGCCTTAGAAACCCTATGGGGTCCTGTAGGATCGCTGTGAGTCAGAATCGACTTGATGGCAGGGGAATTTTGGGATTTTATATATGGTGTGATAGGCACAGGATACTTCTGGGTAATGAGGGCAAGCTTCCTGGGGGAGGTGACATTTAACTTGTGGAATAGATGGTAGTAAGCCAGGTAAAGGAGGAGCAAGAAGTGTACACCAAGCAAAGGAGCAGTATGTGCAGAGGGCAGCAGTCTGAGAGAACCAAATGGAGCACAGAGTGCCAGTGCAGGGGGCCAGAGGAGAGTGGGCAGGGGCCAGATCACACAGCAGTGTTGGAGCTGTGCTGAGAGGTTTGAATTTATCCTAAGAGCAAGTGGCAGACAGTGAAAGACTTTAAGCACAGAGGTGAAAGGTCAGTATATCTTGGCTGTGAAACCTCAAGCAAGTTTCTTAACCTTTCTGTATCTCAGCTGCTTCATTTGTAAAGTGGAACAAATTATTTCTGCTTTTCCGGGTTGCTGAAAGGGTTAAGTTAAATGAGATAACATGCAGAAAGCATCCAGCACAGCTGCTGGTTCCTAGTTGGCATTTCATAAACATTAGTTCCCTTTGCTGCTCTAACTTAAACCTGTGTATTTGGGGGATGTTGAGTGAAGGTTGCCAAGAAAGACATGACACACACAGGCACTGGTTGGAACAACGTTTAACTCATGTGGAGAAGAGACAGAGCAAGGTCAGATTCAGGGATGGGTGTTTGGTCCCCCCAAAGCCAGTAGGTCACTCTTCAGGGTTGGTGTTCTGTACACACCCCTCTCATGTTGCAGTTGAGAGACCCCATCCTCTTCCTGCTGAGAATAAAAATAGTAGGGGTCTTGGTGGAGTGCCATATGGCCCTCGCTTGTGCATAAGTAGAACAAAGAAGTGCTCATCAGGAGTTCCCCTGATAAGGAAGAGGTAGGCTTAGTTCCCAGCCTTCATTAGCAGACAATGTTCTGGGCCTAAGAATCCTGATTAGGCAGTCAGGTGAGGGTTACA